CTGCCCACATCTTTCCAACTCCTGCACTGTTGTCCCCTATTGCCTGGGTCCCTGGCTCCCTCGGCATATGTGCTGGGAACCACACAGGCTGCCCTGACTGGGCGCACAGTGACTTCGGGCAGGGGAGCGGTTGGTTGCAACAGTAGTGGGGGCAATCGGGACAGAGAGCAAGCTGTAAAGGAAATGTTTGCAGTTTTTATAAACTGAGCCATTCAGCTCAGATAAAATAAGCCATATATATTAGGGGAGCTTTTTATATATTAGGTTATTAATATTTCCAAATGTCAAATGCCATGCTGATTTCTTATGTCTCTCAAGGACACTACTGGTCAGACTTTTCAATCAGAATCCCAGCTCTGCCCCAAGGTTGCAGTCATTACACATTAAAATTACAGTGTCACAATCCCACTAATAGCCTCACAATAATTTAGATGTAGAAATAGAGTAGGGAATACAACACATAAATTGCCATTTTGGAAAGGAGGCCGAGATAAAGATTACTTTGGGTCCTCTGCCTACTGTGCCTTGCACCTATGAAGTCTTAAAGAGCTATAAATCAGTGGGTGATTCAGCCCAATTAAAACTAACATTTTTAGTTTTCTGGGGAATTAGCATTAAAAGGATATATGAAGTATACTACAGGCAAAAACCGATCTATTATATATCTTTTATTGCCTTGGATGTGCAACAGTAATTTGAAAATCTATATACACAATGAAATATAGCAGTGTCTGTATGTGACTTTTAAACTAATGTGATTTTGATTTGTGGTGGAGAAGGATATCTGTTCAGCATTTGTGCTTATGCATAAATAATGCTGATCACTAAACATTTCCATATTACTAAAGCATCACAGCAATTTTATAACACAGTGGGCTGTGTAAGACAGTTGAAATATTTATGGTAAATGATAAGTATATTTTTCTATAAACCTATACTTATGTACATAGTGCCTTTGCCTACTAACAGTATGCTGTACGCCACTGCTGACCATGAATCCCATAAACACCTCTTCTCACATGATGATCTATGCAGGAGTCAGTTTGGAGAATCATTTCTGCACTGGTACTTCACAGAAGAGGTGGTTCCTTGATGAATTTGATGTTGGGGTTTGTGGCATAGGCTTTGGTAAAATTATCCCAGAATGAACCTTATCCCCCGTGTCCCCAATATCCTCCTAGCTTCTGAACCCAAGATGTTAATCCTGAACTAGGAAAAAAATGTTCATTTCAGGGGCTTATGGGGCAACAGAGATTGAATTAGTCTTATCTGTTTTGCTCTACCTGCAGTGATACTTTAAATTTAAGTCAGTGTTGGCTATTTCTGCTTTAGATTTATACAGTACCACTGTTGGCAGCTCAGTGCAGAAAAGGATGTTAAATGTTAGATACCTCTTAACCAGCCATGGAACCATAGTGTTTCCAGGAAGGGCATCCCAAACAGAGGGCTATTGAAGCATGCTGTCATTCAACCGGAAGATTGGCAGCAGCAGGATGGAGCAGCCTTTCTGCAAGGAACAGTGCTGGATTAAAGCAGTATTAAACCCTTTTTATAAAACAAAGCTCTTAATTGGAATGTATCTAATATACTAAAAAAAAGTAATTACTTTTGATAAACTCCTTTTGAAATTGATAGATTTACCTTTTCCATTGCTTTGGCTTGTGGTGCAGTGCTTCCTCGGGCAGCTTGCACCCAATCTTCCCTCTATGCCTGGCAGCGCCAATTATCTATGTTGCACACAATTCTACTGCACTTGCCAATGCTAAATTAGGGGTTCTCTGCTGGTCCCTCTTTGTCACTCAAGGTCATGTTGGTGTAGAGGTGGGTGGATCACAATTCTTTGCGACCAGACTGTGCACATAGCAGCTTCACATTTCACTGCAGGTTGGAGTGGGCACGTTGTGGTGGCTCTATAGCAGAAGTCAACTTGGTGTGTACAACAAATAAATCCCTAGAGCAAAAGACAGCGGCAGCAATACCAGATCATACCATACTGTAAGGGATTCTTGCTATGTGATCATGGAATTTTTCATTTGGGTTTTAATAACACTTTGAAGATAAAAATTGCAGCAAAATCAATTACAAATATATATTTTTTAATTTATGGAGCATGGTAGTGTTATAATATATACGTATGGAAACAGGAAGTCTGCTAAAAGCAAAGCATAAGCAACACTATCTGAATATGAAATTCCTACTTATGTGTAAGAAGTGCAAATAAAATCCTTCTTCGGCATTGTGCAGCAGAATTGTTATTGATTCATTCATGAACTAGACATCTAGGAAATCTCTATTTCTATGGAAATTTGTCTAATACATCAATATTTTTCAATTTTTAATGTGTCAAAATAGATCTTCTGACCGATGAGCTAAAAAGTAGAAAGACAATGTAGGGCAGGCAAGAGAATTCATGTCAGAACTTCAAAAAAGGATTTATTTTCCTATAATAATAAATATAACTCTATTGCCATTATTGTTGCAATGATTTGTTCATGAAAAGTGTTACAATTGCTGCTCGACTTCCCTTCTCATCCATAGTGTATCAGCTACAGCAAGAAGCTCCTCGGCCCAGGAGGATTGTATCCACACAAGAGGTTTGTTTTTTCTTCTCCTTTCCTTTACTAATATTTGTCTGGTATGAAAAAAGTCAATATACAGGGGAGAAATGCAGTTAAAAAAGAACTTCAGGTTTTTTTCACATGAACCCTTCCAGTGGGGCTATCCCTGCACTGCAAGGGTTAAAGCAGTATTAAACTCTCAAACGTTTATTCAATAGTGAATCCAGATTAAGCAAATACACATTTCCCAGCAAAGTATTTCTTTACATTTTTGCCCAAGCACTTAGAGTCATCATGTTTTCCCCGAACAACTGGCTCCAACTCTCTCAGCTTCACTTCCCTGAACTTCCTGTCCAGTACGTGATAACAATAAACAGCGCACTCTCCTGCAGCTGTCCATATGCTAGCTTGGAGAAGGGAGAAGGCAAGGAGGGAGGCTGGAGGATAAAGGAATAAAGAGCAGGGGTGTGGTTTGCCTTGCCATGCCTGTGTGTTTGTAGAGACACACGCTGCTTACTATCACCCACCCGGGTGGCTCTATAGGACCCTACAAGGAACACGAGCCACCCTATAAACAGCATATTAAGACCAATGCTCAGGAGGCCAGCTTATTCTGCAGGAAATAAAGACTTTTAAGCAGCATCCATAGTAAGGGATTCAATCAGCATTTGAAATAGCTTAATTGCCTTTTTGATTTTATCATCGCTTTAAGTGCTCGTTTTGGTCTGTAGAAAATAAACAAAATATTTACCTTTTCCATTGGCACTGCCTGGTTGCTAGACTGATCCTCACAACCCCCTTTATAAGGACTCCAACGACTGTGACCTCATCAAATCTAAAGCAGGTCCATGGTCCAAACCAGGAGGGGGAGAGAGAGATGAGCAGTCACTGCCGCAGGACCAAGGATCAAGTGAGTGTATATTCTTTAATTTTGACCCTAGGCCAAAATGAGCACTAATCTATGTACAGCGGCAGTAGACTCACTGCAAGGGTTAATTTGAAAAAAAAATATGAAGTTTTTCTGTAAATTATTAAACTTTACCTTGTCTGCTTTATTTTTTAATTTTTTTCAAATTGTTTATTGACTGAAGAAACCATCAGATATAATAATACAATGTGATTGAAAGCAAAATCAGTTATATACAATCATTAAGGCACGTTGAGAAACGGTCTACACCTAGTCAACGCAAGCATATCCTATCTAAAAAGTCGCATACATGGGGATGCACGCCCGAGCTGCATTCAACAGGTGGTGTGTCAGAGATTGTTTATACCTGGAGATCGAGTGTTTAGTCAAATGAAGTAGGCATGCTGCGGGGTCATCCCGGAGGTCTGCGCCGGTCAAGGTCTCAATCAGCTCCAGCACCTGTCTCCAGAAGACTGCTTTATTTTTTTAGTTTAAATTTACCTGCATTTAAACCTGCACTTGTGTGGAAGATATAAAATGTCCTCCTTCTGACCTGCGTTTGACCTGCTTCAAGCGGCTTGTGTATTACTATGGACTTGTATGGGGAAAGAAGCAATGCCGATGCAAACAAAAGGCCTTCGTCACATTTCCCTAAACAAAATAGTTTTTCCTGTGGTCTGTAAACCAACATTTCTCAACCTTTTTTCAGTCATGGCACCCTTTAAAAGTATGCGAAATCTCAAGGCACCCCAGTCTAAAATGGAGAAAACATAAATGTAAAAAAATGATGTGCGGGTTCCTCCAAAATCTTCACCAGACCCTTATACTAGGTAGGGGTCTGGTATGGATTTTAGCGGGGACCCCATGCAAAAATGTAAAACAAAAAAATACACAGAGTTCCCCCCTTTACATCAGAGCCCCCTCTTTCACATCAGAAGCTCCACTTTCCAACCAGGAGCTCCCTTTACACCAGATTCCCCCTTCACATCAGAGCTCCCTTCACATCAGAGCCCCTCACATCAGAGTCCCCTTCACATCAGAGTCCTCATCACATAAAAATTCCCTTCACATCAGAGCCCCCCTTCGCATCAGAATCTCCCCTTCACATCAGAGCCCCCCTCCCCCCCTTCACATCAGAGTACCCTTCACATAAGGAGCCCCTTCACATCAGGGTCCCCCCTTTCCATCAGAGTCTCCCCTTCACATCAGAATCCCCTTCACATCAGAATCCCCTTCACATCAGGAGCCCCCTTCACATCAGAGCCCCTCCTTTCACATCAGAGTCCCCTTCACATCAGAGTCCTACCATATACTCTTCACCATAGTGTAACTGAGGTTGAATCCCGGGGGAAGTCCTGGATGCAGCCTGGCCTGGAGTAGCGTCATCTGTTTCCTTGATGTTTGCTGCCGGCTTGTTTGCAATAGAGAAGTGCATGACACTGTACTAACATTTGAAGGCACCCCTGACAAATCCGGAAGGCACCGTAGAATGCTGCGGCACCCTGGTTGAGAAAGTCTGCTGTAGAACATAAGACTTAATTTTTTTTCTCCTGTTTTACATTTCATCTACAATTTGTCTTGTCAGGGAGCATGTGCAAATTTGTAGCTTAAATGGAAATTTCAAGTTTTTATAGGATGTATAGGTAGCATATCCCCTTGCAACCCATGCACATATCTGTGACAGTCCCATAAAATGAAGGGAGCAGCAGTGTGAAACACTTCAGTGTCCCACAAATGATAGAGTCACCCTTAAATATTCTGATATGTTGCTGTAATAGAGGTATTTTACATTGATTAGGAAATGCAAGGTGGCATATTCCAGATTCATTCCTCATCACATTTCCAGCTGCTGTATAATTCTTGGGGTTTATGAATCACCAAGACTTTGAAACCCAGTTGGGAACAGCTGCCGAACTTTCTATAGCACTTTGATGAGTTCCTGTTTTATATCCTAAGGAGCTGTATTTGCATTTCATAATTATAAAGTATCTCGAGGATTGCACATCAAAGACACTGCATTTCAGAAAACTTTCATTTACCACACAAGTGCCGTAAGGTTGTCTACACCCAGAGCTGATGGAAGGCAAAGTCGTCTTTTCAATGTTGAATCAGCATTGCATCCCAGATCTACAGTTGAAGAGATTTCTGTAATTGTATGTTACATACTTGTTTTCAAAACAGATTTTTTTTTTCTCAAGATTTCACAGAAAGGGTCAAACTCATATTTTCATCATGTTGATGGCAATTCTTGCCAGTGTAAGTCTCTAGAGACGGTAAACATGTTTACAAATCTAAATGTAATCTTTAATCTATATTTGCATACAGGTGTTAAGTATGAAACGAGCATCAAAAAGTGCCGGCAATTAAAGTGGAACACCAGCAAATATAAAACAGCCTAAGGGCAAGTTATGTGTCAACAAAAAAGATTATTTTTAATTACAGCTAGTATGGATGCACCAATACCGATACAAGTATCGGTATGGGTGCAGATGCCCACTATTTGGGCTCTGATGCCTAGCCCGATATCCGAACTTCTGGTATCAGGAAGCCAGGCAACGGGTCATTACACGCTGCACGGCTTCTTGATTGGCTGGGAAGCTGGCTCCATGCTCCCTCGTCACTTGGTGTAATGACTTGCTGTCTGGCTTCCTGATTGGCCATCTTCCTGACTAATCAGGAAGCCGGACGGTGAGTTATTACCCGCCCCCTTGCTTCCTGATTGGCCAAAAAGTCGGCTTCATGCTTCCTCGTCACCTGGTGACAGGAAGCATGGAGACGGCTTCCCCGCTAATTGGGAAGCCGGGTGGCGAGCCTTTACATGCTGCCCGGCTAATCAGGAAGCCAGGTGGCGAGTCATTATATGGCTTCCTTAATGGGACTTCAGGTATCGGTATTCGGTATTGGCAAGTACTGAAAAAGAATATCTGTACTCGTATAAGTGGCAGAGAATGGTTAATTACAGATAATGCTCCATCCAGCTTTTGACAGCTATGTTATGTTACACCTATAGCCTAACACAGTGAGGCCAGAGCTACAACAAGCCTCTGACTTGAAGTCAGAGGCTTTAGCTCTGTGGATAGCATGGACCGATGGCAAAGTGCCATTGGTCCAAGACATCCAATAAAAAAACAAAAACAGATGGCATGCATCGAGATGCCTCATCAGTGACAAGCAAGTGAAGAACAGCGAGGCTCTTCCCTGTCTCCTTCCTCACCCCACAGACAGATGAACACATAGCTTGGTGACCGGGCCTGTGGCGGGGCTGGGAGTGCCTCACCTGCTACTCACCTGCTACTGACCTTGCCGCACGTTCCTGCGTCCCACAGTCCTTTCAACAGCACAAGTCAGGCTAAGAAAAAAATATTATACATTATGGGCCAGTCAAGCTCTAATGCATTGCATTGTGTTGTCAGACTAATATGTTTTCAGGCACTGGGAGCCGGAAGGGAACGGATATGGGGAGCTTACAGGATGGAGCTCTGCAGAAATTTCAGCAAATGAAACTGTCATAAATTGGTTTCACCACATTTTTTATACTTTTTTAAAACATTTTTTTTATAATTTATGATTGTCACATCTGAAAGTCTATTATACCCAAGCAATACATTTACCGTGCCTGAAAAAGTAATTGCCATTTACTAAACCCTTAATTTCAACATAACTCTCTAAATGTATCCTAAAACTCAAGTCAAATTGTACTAGCAATAACAATAAACATCATCATGTAGATACTAGCAATCATATACCACATTGAAACAATCGACCAGTACAAAAATTTCACTAAGAACATTACTTTTTGCCCCATTCTCACAACAGCTGGTTAACTTGCACAGAACAACTATACCTGCAGTTTTGCTGGGTGAATAACCTATAAAAAAATGTTTATAAATAGAACCCTAGGTGTAGCAAATGATCACTAAACAAATGAAACCAATGACTCCCTATAAAGTAAGCAACACAACTAGCATGCAGTGGCAATTCATCTCACATGAATGTACAATGTTCCATGCATGTGCTGTTGATTGAACAAGATGCTACTAAATGCTTCTTGTGTATCTTACTCCATAGGGAGCCATTTGTTCAATTTGTGTAGCAATCATTCTCTACTCATATTGATTATTCCCTAATGATTTTAGTAAAAGGATTGAACTACTAAGAATCTCCTTTGTAGCTCTAGGCTAATGAGGTGACTGCCAGCAAGTAGACTCATTTCTGAGTATGAAAGTATTAGGAATGCACATGTAGTTCATGTCTGTTGTCTGCCTGGACATGGTTGTCACTTTTCTGCTTTCTGGAAAAAACTGACACAGCAACTACAACAGAACACTTTTGTCTTTTATCACATTCACTGTCAGGCTTTAGATTTCACTGGTTGAGAGCAGTCAGGACAAGGAGTGATGGAAGCTGATTGATTACTTTTCACATTGGTTTTTGCCTTACTTAAAAGGAGTGCCAAGTTTCCTCTGCGCAAAGCAGCATCCACTCAGCAAAGAGTGTACAGAGATATACCAGTTACGGCTGCAAAAAAGAATCTGCTTTTTCACTTTCCAAATCAGAAAACCATTTCAGTCTAACTTGTTTGATACGATGATGTAGACTGATACACAATTGCATTTTTATATTACTGTGTATAAACAGTTTTACTGGTTTGACATTATGAAATGTATTTTTGGCTGTTGTGGTTGAAAGAAAAAATACTGAGGATGTATGGTGCCTGCCGTTGCTGAGTATTCAGATGTTATTGTTTCTGGCTGTCATGATTATCCAGCAGCTTCACTGCTTTCTGAAAAAACAAAAAACAAGTACGCAGATAAGGAGCTCTGCATTCAATCTAAAGCTGGCATAACACTTTATGAATTTAGGCCGGTTCTTGATGAATTTGTTCAGTGGGTGCCCCTGTTGGCACCCTTCCACCCAGCATCCTTCGATCAGAACATCAACTGCCATCACTGTTCAAGTATTCTGATAGCAGCACACCCACTGCTGACAGACTACAAAGGACACAGCAGGATATTCTGCAGGGTAAATGAAAAATATAACAGATAACTCCATCCAAGCTAAACAGCATAGAAGAAGGAATCTGTTTTTTTTTGTTCAGCCTGCAGGTTAATCAAAAAAAATAGGGCTGGTAATGATTAAAATTTTCGTGTTCGATTAATCGAAATTTTTTTTAATCGATTAATTTCGATTAATTATAAACCGCCGCTTGAGTGGGGCAACTCAGAATAATAACGTGCTGGATTAGTGTGATCCTAGTTCATTTTATTACTTCATTGCTGTGCTGTATGTGTATAGGCCAATGCCTTGGCTGGCGCTCGTGCAGAAAGTTTCTTGGGCAAACTCACTAGCCCAATTGGCTCCGTCGGCTAACGAAGGGGGGAGGAGTCCTGGTCATCTTTTGTTGTATAAGTGTGATACTTTTAAATCCCTTTTTGGGAATTACCCTTGTCACAATCGTATTCTTGTCTCCGTGAGCATTAAAGCATAAAAGTCACTAAGGACAGTGTCTGATGTTTTCTGCAAAGGGCTGTAGTAAATGTTCACATTTGATGTTTTGCAAAACCATCCTGTCTCTGGATCTTCCCTGTGAGGTTTAAATTATAAACAGAAAACAATAAAAATTAAAAATATATTTTGAAGCTTACCTGTGCCCTCACCAAAGCTTGTAAACTGACCCCGGGTTTGTAGAGCAGGTGCTTGCACAGCACACTTCATTTATTTTCAGAGTACCCCAGAAGCTTCAAATCCTTAAGACTCACTAAAGTATAACCTGTAAGCTTGCGTGATTGTACCATCCTTCCCATCAGAAGCCTCCCTGTTGCTCACTGTGATGGGTGGTTTTGCTGATCAATTAGGAGATTTGGGAGTAGATCAGGGAACTACCACAGGTCTAGTTGGAATTTGCGCCTTAGATCATTGGGTATTGGGGCTCCCAGTGAGTTCCGAAAGTGAACTTAGGATGTTGCAGGCATTGAGAGTCCTGATATACAGAGTAGGGGCCAATTTATAAACTTTGCTGAGAATGCAGCAGTTTGGTTTTATCGTCTAGTGTGCAAGAAACATGAACACATTGGATCACCTGACTCCTTAATTATGCTCTTCTAGATTTGTAGCAGGCTTGACAATTCATCATGGCCAGAATTTGGTATTTGACACAAGTGCTAAAAGCCCACACCCAAAGGGGAACAATAGAAGCCATAGTGTGAGACACACATACAGTGAAGCGGGTCTCATGCTCTTATACATCTTTCCTCTGGTCATATGATATCTGTCAGCATTAAAGCCTGACACGTTCTGTACATGTTTGGGGCAATTTTAATGTGACAGTAGGTGTTTGTTCATGTCAAGCTATTTTTTTAATTCCCATATAAGTCTATGGGAATGCCGTTCCCGCTTCAAGCAAGTCAAAAGCAGGTCAGAAGGAGGTCAACATCAGGTCAGATGCACCAATCAGTACATTCTGAACGATTTCAGAAGCATCTCAAACTAATGCCATCAACGCAAATGCAAAATCTGTCCACACAGGCCCTAAAAAAGCTTCTACGGCAACCCATCACCAGCTGCTCTCTTTATTTAGTTGGTAGTCAGTTGCATTGATCAGTTACATTTCTTTTTTTTTTTCTCTTTGTTATTCAAATTTGGAGGAAAGTACAGTAATACCTCGGTTCACGAACGCTTCTGTTCGCAAATAATTCGGTTCACGAACAGAAAGTTCTGCAAAATTTTGCTTCCGTTCACGAACTCCACATCGGGTGACGAACACGACCGCGGCCATCTTCCCCGCTCTGACACGTGGTCGTGGCTTCTTCTAGTCGAGATCACGGTCGCAGACAGACCTCTGCACACTTGCTGTGAAGCTTTCTTGTGTGCTTTTTAGCATATACAGTACTGTACAGTATTATGTATTACATTAAACCTTATGAGGAAATTTGATTCGGTTCGTGACCAATGCGGTTTGCGACCAGAATCATGGAACGAATTAAGTTTGTGAATCAAGGTATCACTGTACTTGGACAGCATTGCATCTTAATGAAGAATCAACTTTTCTAATGCAGCCAAATAGTATTATTTGCCATTATACAATTTAATGTTGTTTTTATATCTTTTTATGACTTTCTCTAATACAGGTGGTGAACAGACCAAAGCATTATGGAAGGGAGTACGTGAGCAACCACCTTTCTTTCTCGCTTATAATCTCCTGTGGGTTGGATTGTGGCTGTGTGTACATTTTTACATGGGCATATAATGAGCAAGTCCTGATTTTTTTCAACATCAATCATGTTTTAGGGGTCTATTTATTTAAAAAAAAAAAAAGCGTATTTGTCCTGCAAAATACATGTACGTTCTGTGCAAATGAAGGCAAAAATAAATGTTATCAGTATATTTTCTTTCCAAGTTGAATATAATCAGAAAAATACCTCATTATGTCCAATAGATGGAGCTGAGGAGCATAGTAAATAATATGTCCTATGCTCCTCAGCTCCATCTAGTAGCCATAATACAGTATTTTCCTGGTATTACCTTCGACTTGTAAAGAAAACATACTAATATTAACTAATACTAACTTTTGTTTTTTGCCTTCATTTGCACAGAACAAACATACATGTGATTTTGCATAACAAATAGGCAAATAAATCACACCGATAATGTTTGATTTTGCCTCCATACACACAGAAAAAACATATATGGATATTCGCAGGATGATTGGCTATGTGAATTTTTTTATAAATGCACCCCAAAGTGTCAATATACTGTTAGCAGTGCGGGTGTAACCCTTGCAGTGGGGCCAGCCACCGCACTGCAAGTGTTAACTGTTTGTTTGCGTCTCGGCCAGAAAATCTAAAAGTTATACTCAATTGATCCTCTGCTGCAACGTCCTCACATCCAATACACTGTATTTAACAAGAGAACTTGAGGATCCTTAAGGTGCCCACACACCTTGCGATAATCGTACGATAATCGTGGGAAATCCCGCGATTGTATGATTATCGCAAGGTGTGTGGAAGGCGTGCGACCGTTTCTACTGTACGGTTGCACGACTTTTGTCTTTTGAGCATGTTCAAAAACCAGCCAAGAATCGTACGATTTTCGGCTGGTTTGTAGCATGATCGTGAGGTAACTTCCGCACGGGCCGGTGTGCGCAAGCGCACACTGCCCGTTCAGCACTGCGGTCATCGGAAGCCCAGCGGGGCGGGCTTGCGATTATTGCAAGTACGATCTGCCAGTCCAAGATAGGCAGATCGTACGTTTTTTTAATTACCTTACAACCATCGCAAGACAAAAGTCTTGCGATGGTTGTAAGGTGTGTGGCCAGCTTTAGACTGCTGCAGCGGTGGGGGAGAGACGCTGGAAGGAGTGGTCTAACAGCAAGCCGGCTCAGATCGAGCGAGTATAGCTTTTTTATTTTCAACTCTGGACACAAACGAGCAGTTAACCCTTGCAGTGCGGGGGTAGCCCCACTGCAAGGGTTAATAATATTTTTGCTCGGAGTTCTGCTTTTAGTTAATAGTAGATGGAGTTTTAGTGAGCAACATGTTTAAAGTCTTAGAACAATGGCAAAAAAACATTGGGTGCACAACAAAGGTTGCAAAAAGCATTAGGGTCCCCACACACCTTACGATAATCGTACAATAATCGCGGGAAATCCCGCGATCGTACGATTATCGTAAGGTGTGTGGAAGCCGTGCGACCTCTACTACTGTAAGGTCGCACAACTTTAAACTTACGGACATGTTCGAAAACCCGCCGAGCATCATACGATGTTCGGCGGGTTTATGGCATGTCCGTACGATAACAGCCGTACGGGCCGGTGTGCGCAAGCGCACACTGCCCGTTCGGCATTGCGGTCATCAGGAGCCCGCCCCTCCGGGGGCGTGGCTTGCGATCAGCGCAAGTACGATCTGCCTATGCAACATAGGCAGATCGTACGTTTTTTTAAGTACCTTACAACCATCGCAAGACAAAAGTCTTGCGATGGTTGTAAGGTGTGTGCCCAGCCTTACAATGATATTTGAAACCACAATGGAAATAACATTGGGTGCCTCTGCCCTAGTGATTCCCAACACTCCACACCCACATGCCAGCCACTTCCCTTACTAGGGTTTTTTGTTTTTGTTTACTGAAATTTTACATTTTTGCAAAGTAAACATTTGTACCTTACATATTTCTCTTTTTGTTCTTACGTGAACACAAACATAATAAATGTATGCATTACTTTCTGGTTTTCCTGTGCCTTTTATGAAGCAGTTGATCAGATCCTACTGATGCTAAGGCCACTATTTCATCCAAACATGTGTGAGCTCTAGAATACTGTATGTGCTGGCCAAAGATTTCTAATAGCTGGCTATTTCTGATAATAGTTATGATTATCTCCATGGGCTTATGATTACCATAGAAACTGTACTTTCCTGAAAGGATGTTTTTCATTCTGATAAAATGTTTATACAAGATAGCCTCATTTTTCTGTTATTCTTGTTAATGTCAGTTAAGATATAATCCTGATTAGAAGATAAACCCATGAAAACTGAACTCCAAGCAGATACAAAAGACACACATTAAAGCACCACTGTATTGATTGATACAAAATGAAATATTTTTTTTTTTATGCAAGCAGCTGAAATCAGCCTTTTGCAATCCCCTGTACAACCAAGCTCAGACTGGGTGAAAGAGATGCAGCACACATGTGCTAACAAGAAGCATGCTGATGGGGAGAGTGTCAGAGAGATGAGCTCATCAGTTTGCTGCTTCTTCTTTTACTGTTCAGTCAGGCTGGAGGCTGGACAAGTCTTGTGTTACTTAGTGTTACTTAGCTGCAGCAGAAAAAATCAGGTCTCCTGCCCTGACAGACAGGGTTCTGCTGTATGGCAGGGCTGTGTAAATGTATGGAAGAAATAGAAATCCTTTTAGCAGGTAACAGCTTCCATATAAGTATGTTACGTGCAGGGACGCAACTAGAAATCCCAGGGCCCCATAGCAAAATGTTATATGGGGCCCTGTGATTTCTAGTTATGCCCCTTGCAGAGCCCACCTGATATCCCAAACAGCCCACCTGAGAGTGACCCTGGAGAGCCCGCCATAGATTCTCTGAAGAAGAACAAATGCACACATACATTTAGGAGTCTATTTATAAACAATTCACAGAACCAGTTTTCTGAACGTTTGTTCTGTGCAAAAAATATGCAAAAAAAAGAACATTCTTACATATATATTTTCAGGGTTTTAGGTTTATTTTATTATTATTATTATTTATTTTTATTATACTGCATTATGGCCACTAGATAGAGTTGAGGATCTCCTATGCTTCTCAGCTCCATCTAGTGGCCAAAATGCAGTATTACATTACATACATTAGACCCAAAAAGAAAATATATCTATCATAGCCATTCATTTTTACATCTTTATGCACAGAACAAACATTCAGAAAGCTTCACAGGGTGATTGGCTCTGCAAATAATTTTTAAATAGACCACAGTGACTTCAAAGTACTTTTTTATTAGATTTTATTGTTTGTAGCCTACAAAAAAGGGAATGTCCCTGCCTATTTTCTTTGCATTGCTTTTTACTGTGTATTAAGTAATAAAAAAATGAAACAGATGCCTATTCTTTGAAGCTGGCCTCCTAGCTGAAATAAAGAAAACTATACATAAGTATCTAAAATTCTCTTGGTAGCAGCCTTCTGTGTTTTTCTACACTACAGGGACCAGACTAGAAAAAGGGGAGGGCAGCCTGGTGAACCAGTCAGGGTCTGTTGCATTGCAAAGTATTGTCCATCTGCAACTTTTCTGAGATGATGGGGAAGAACAGAGTGATACGTTCATTCTTCTTCTTTGCCCAGTAATCTCCAAAAATGTGTGAAGGTTTACTTGCTTTACTGGTTGAGGTGGTGGGGGGCAGTCCTTAGTGGTTCCTGTGATGTATTTTTTGCGGCATTTGCAAGCAATATAATACTGCACTTTTATGGGTACATTTTATTTACTTGTTAAAATAAACGATTACGCACCTCACAAGGACAAAGAGATCTGTCCTTTCTTTATACTTCACATACAACAGACTTCCCTATCTGTGATATGAGCTGCCTATCCCTCATGAGGTGTGGACATCTATGGTGTTCTGTTGTGGTTGATTATACTGCGTTTCACTAAGGAAACTGGTCTTGGATCTTTCTGTAAACCTGCTCATAAGAAGGGAAAAGCACAGTAATGGCCTCATCAGTGTGCTGCTACATCTTTATTGATCACACTCATAGAGATCCATCTCCTAGCATGGAAGACCCATACGGATAGACACGTCCTTCTCTTAACTGGGAAGACCTATTATTGACTCTGGTATTGCCTATAGTGAGCTAGGTAGGTAGTTAGGTGACCAGTCACCTGCCAAACAGGAAAGTAGCATCAGTAACTGTTCCTCATAACAGGAAATTGGAGAGGAGCAGTCCCTATACATGTAGACCATCAGTTTTTGGACGCATTTTATGAGACACACATCATTCCAGGTATGGAAATAGATGATCTTTCATAAACATGTTTCATTTGTGTGCCCGTAGATCAGCTTGTACTATAATCAGTAAAAGGGAGTTCCTCACATCTCTAAACGACAGGCAAAGATAGCTGCCCGCTGTTTTTTTTTATTTTTTATTGTGCCAACATATTTATTAAATAATCAAGATTTTAAAAAAGAATACAAGTGATCATGCCTCTCTAGAGCTGAATGTCAGGCAAACAACTAAATACACAGCTAGGAAAAAAATTTGGGCACTGTTTTACCTGCAAACAGTTTTGTGTTTCTGTCCATCCAGTCCTAAATTTACACAGCTCTACTGCACAGCCATGGGGTTGAGACTACTTCTAGTAAGTAAATACAGTGGAGTAATCCCTCCTCCACCATCCTGTGATTGAACAGTGTAGTTGCAGCATTAAAAGAATCTGATGCCAAGTCGAATTCTGAAACCTAAACTAGCTGCATTGAAAAATACATTTATTTTAATAATGACGACAGAGCTGCATTCGATTTTCTATGCTAAAGCCTTTCTCTGAGGAAAAAAACTCCCATTACAACAGGGCTACCCCTGCACTGCAAGGTTTAACTTCTCGTTAATGTCTAGGGGATCAGGACTTTTATTTACCTGGTCCCCGCTCCTGCATGCTCTAAGTCCAGTACACGCAGCCTCTTCCCGCCTCCCCTCTGAAAGTTGGAGGGCCACGGACAATACAATTGCCCATAGCCCTGGATCATACTTGAGGATGGAGAGGGACAGTACTCAAGCCAGAACATAGGGGAGAGGTGAGCACCAACTGCCAGGTGAGTGGGGATCAGGTAAAGAAAAGTTTTTTACACAGATTAATGAGCCGTTGAAGTGCGGGGGTAGACCCACTGCAGTTGGACAATTTTTCCCAAACACTCAGATAGAAATCAAGTTTCTTTTTCTTTGCTGTGCTATACATCATCAGTTTCATAGTCATGGCCATATGGTAAAGCACATAGGGTTCATTTAAACGAAATGAACAGGCAAAGGTAAAACAGAACTCTTTATTCCCGGGTCACTACTTGTCAGAAGCAATCGTTTTTCCATAACTGAACTCTCCTTTATTTGGCTTTTATGAGAATTTTATTATGCTACCTCTACAGAGGTGAAAACAGGAAGAGAGCCGCAGAGGAAATATGTTACTGGCATTCCTTTTACTGTTGAGAATATAAGGGGCTGAATGATGTTTGTTCCATGAGTGCAAAACAACTCCTGGCTTTATTCTCAATGCAGGTTTATTAAGGCATTCCACTTCCTGGCTCATTCATGTACAAGAATTGAACTGGACTCTACTACAATAGGGAGGACGTACAGCTCCTGTGAGACACCGCTAACCACTTTACTTTTCGGTGTCAGAATACAGAAGCATAGTTGCCAGCATTTTAAAATAATATCCTGGGACAATTTACTATTTAGCTGGTCATGTCAGCATGTCACGTACAGCTATGACTTGGAGCACCAGATAGTAATAAATACTACATATTTTTCTGATGCACAACTAGGAATTATTGCACTGTAGTGATGATTTACTCCCCTGAATAAAAAACTAGCTGTACCCCATTTTACATCCTTTTTCATCTTTTAGCACTCTCTTTGTATCGGTGTTTCGTATTTCATGTTTAAGCACATTTAATTCATTTCTCTTGTATGTCACATACAGCTATAGATAATGTTAAAAATAAATTGTAATTTCATATATTTTCCGCAGATTTCACGGCATCATTTCTCGGGAAGATGCAGATGCGTTGCTGTGCTGTGCAGAAGGAGCATACCTCATTAGGGAAAGTCAGAGGCAGCCTGGCTGTTATACACTGGCCTTAAGGTAGTCACTATGGTGTGCATGGCTAACAGTCTAACACCAGCAAGTGTGATTGTTTGGTAGTGATTGTGTCCCTGCAAGGTTTGAAGAGCTTGAAATAGTCCCCCCTATTCAGTAATACTTTCTGCCCATCTTAATCCTCTTTTTAATTATATTTTCCTGATATGTTATGTTCTATTTAATGTGCATTACCCTATAAATTCTGTTTATTTGGACATTTTTAGAACTATTTCTGATGTTTTTGTTGTTCTTTTTTAATTTAGAACATTATTTATATATTGAAACTTGATGTAGTTAGGACAAAAGAATGACAGACAGACCAGACCAGACCAGACCAGACCGAGTAGGTATAGAGGTACTCATGGGTCTTCCAGCGAAAATAGGTCAAAGCATCAGCATTTTATTATCAACGTTTGGCCGGAGCTCAGTCCATCTTTATCAAGACACTTGTCTTAGGTAGTAAGGACAATGCTACAATACATCCTTTGCCTCCTTAGATATGCTCCTTCAGAGGAGGAATGTTATTGTTTGTTTCCTATCCACTCTTTGTTTTTATTTTTATGTCATTTTTGCATTTCTAATATTGCTGTACTGTTGGCTTTGATAAGCCTTGTAATTTGTTATTTTGTTTTCTGAAAAATGTGAATAAAACTTATTGAAAAAAAAACACTTACATTGAAACATGTCTTCATAAAGAGGGACTGAGCTCCATCAAAACATTGACAATAAAATGCTGACGCTATGACTTATCTCCTCTGCAAAGCCTTGTGAGTGCCTATATATAGTACCTACAGAGACCCAGTCAGGTTTTGCAGTCTGTGGCCCCGATGATGACCGTTATCACCAGGACCGAAAGTGTTGAAACATTTTGAGTTGCCACCAGAACAGAACTCTGGGGAAATCTTCAAATGTGGACACTTGTTGCAGTAAGAACTATGTAAGGCCCCATTCACACGGGGCTTTAGGCTGCAGCGAGAACCTACAGCTCTTGCATCTGTATGGGCACACCTGGAATTCCTGTGGTAAGAATCCTTAGGCTTTTGCTGCAGGAATCCCCAGCCACAGCTATTAGCCCCGTGTGAATGTAGCCTTAAGGAGTCCATACATTTGACGATTATCGTACGATAATCGTGGGTGATCCCGCTATCGTACAATAATCGTAAGGTTGATGGGCAGCGTGTGACCGCATCGACTGTACAGTTGTACGATTTTCGTATAACGAGCACACATGAAAACCCGTCAAATCGTATAATTTTCGGCGGGTTGGTCGCACGATCGCAAGACGAAAGCCGCACGACCCGAGGTGCGCAAGCGCACACTGCCAGCTCACCATTGCAATCATCTGCAAGCCCTCCCCTCAGCGAGTATGATCTGCCTGTCCATGATGGGCAGGTCGTACAAACTTTTAATCACCTTAAACAGTGTTTACCATAACATTTCTTTTGTCTATACAGGTTTGGTCACCAGACACTGAACTACAGACTTTTCTATGATGGCAAGCACTTTGTGGGAGAGAAGAGGTTTGAGTCAATACATGACTTAGTAACTGATGGCCTTATCACCTTGTACATAGAAACTAAAGCTGCAGAGTACATTGCAAAAATGACAACCAATCCTATTTATGAACATATTGGATACACCTCCCTGCTTAAGGAAAAAGTTACCAGAAGACTGAGTAGAACAAAGAATGAATCCAAAAGAACCCATGTGTCAAATGAAGGACATGCACCTGTGGAAAAGGTGGGTAGACATTTTTCTTCTCACATACACATACTGTAGAACTAGGCATTCGTGTGTTAATGAAAGTTCCTTCAGTCTATACAAGTTTACTTGCAGCAACCAATCAGAAAGCATCTGACATCAGCCTGTCTGCTGAAGGCATTGCCTTGGATTTTTGCAGATCGCTGCTCTTTTATTTGTAATTTAGTGACATGTGAACACACACACTGCTAAACCTGGTAGCCACAATTCCTCAGTCACTTTGTAGCCTCTTTGGGACAAAAAACAAACGTGAGGGCGTGAGTTGTTTTTGGTTCCACAAGTGCAGGCACTCCTCCTGTCTCCTAGGGCTGCAGGCGAGGTAGAGCTACAGCACCCTATTCCCTTGACCCAATCAGAGAGCGCTGTTCGTATTATTTGTATGTGCTTTTTGTAGCCCTACAAAAAAGAGTATAGAGATGGGGAAGTCAGTCTGTCAATCACAGCACTCATTTTAAAGAAACCTCTGCCCACCCTGGGGCAGTCATATGTCATCGCTCTCTGCATACAGCAGTGGCCCAGGGAGTGGTTAGAGATAAAAAAGATACATAGCTGTTGACTTTTTTGAAAAAGTAAAGATTTGCATATCAGTATCAGCACTCTGTGGTCTGATTAGACTGCACGTTTTTGAGAAAGCAGCTTAGATTTCATTCCAGTGTCAAGCTATGCCTCCTGAGCACCGATAAACCTAACTATTTTAAAGCATGAAAAGAAAGGTTTACTTCCTTTATTGTAGTAAGTATAATATGTGTAAGTTATGGGTGGAATTATGAATTTGGTGCTGCAATACACTTGTACAATCACTGGAGATTGCCAAGTGCTAGAAACAGGTAGTTGCACATGGTTAGCTGCAGTGTAGAGAGCACGTGTCTTCAAATAGTGACTGAAGGAAGGCTTCAGGTATACCTCTACATTTGCATTATGTTTACCACCATTGGTTTTCTGCAGTGGCATGTAATGGAGTGATTAGTAAAATTTAGGTAGAGTTATTCTTGCTAACAGATTGTGATCTGCAGTGATTACATAAGTGCACTGTAGCATACAATTGCTCATGTATAGCTCTTGGGGGGTGAGGACATTAAACCAAACATGTAAATGAACCAGGTACTTTCAATATTTTCACTTTTTGTCTGCACTCACAGTGCTGATGCAGACAAGCCGAGTATAGATGGAGCAATGTTTGCACTAAACCGGGACTCTGATGGCAGCTGTCAAAATACAGGGAAAGGAAAACAAAGACAATAGGTAATGCTCTCTTTGGTATCCCCGCTTATATTAAAAAGGCAGATGTGTTGTAAACGTACAGTTATCCATTTACAGAAATTAATCTTATGTTTGGGTATTATTTAGTAATATCCTTTTCTTGAATATTGTAGGATATATCTTGCCATGAGCAAGTATCAGTTTAGAAAAGGAGGAACAAAAATGATCTCATGAATTTCCGCACTCATGCGAGATATACATCAGATTATGTACCGGGATCAGAGTAACGTTTGTAAAGTGACTGTCGGTTATTATTTTCATTTAGCACACTGTAGTATCAGCTTAGACAATTGCTCCCATCTTAAGCTAGTCACCTCTCATAGCTAATGTTTGAAGTGTTAATGTGATTTAGTTAAACATGACTGAGGGAAATACCACAGTTCATAGATTGCACAGGCAATTTGATTTCATACTTTTCTGACCTTCAATGGCATACAAATTAGCAAGCACCTCAGTCACTGCTGAAGCCCTGTGGGAAGGTTAAAGTCAGTTTTGTTTTATGGAGGAAATAATAGGTAACAGCTCATGAAATGTTACTGTAATGACTGTTTTGCCTGGAAAATCAGCCGTTGATAGGAAGTGTCAATTGTTGTAATTAATGCATTAGACGTACTTAGTGAATGTCTGGCTCATGTCAGCCATTTGGTTAGTAGGGTTAACTAGGGAATAAAAGTGGTTTTTCTCAAAGTGTGCAACGTGTATTGAAGATGTTACATAATAATGGTTCATTGTAGCTGATGAACAGCCATGCTCTGGATGTATGTAAAGGACAGCCATAGGGGAGTATAAGCTGAGTGTTTTGTCAACTGCTAGTGGGTGTCACTATAGGTACCCACTAAATTATCCTACAGAGTGAATGTGGCTGTTTCTCTGGGATCCAGAGGCATTGTGGACAAGGTAGTGTACTTCTTGACTGCTAAATCTTAGAGTTAAAATTATGGATAAAAAAGGGACATGGGGGACCCTTAGGGAAGAAGGAACAATTTTCAAAGGTTAAAAGCCTAAAAACACACTCAGTGCCACTGGTGGTCTTTCAACACAGCCCAATAATGCAATTTGCAAATTGTGAAGAAAAACTTGCACAAAGTGTGTAATCTCCGATACTTCCTGGTCTCAAGCATCCTAGGCAAGTCACCTTCCAGATGCATTTTGGGAAAACCGGGCATCCTAATACTGATCTGTGTAGCCACCTATAAACAATGTTTCATATGTCTTCGCATTTCCTGACTCCTAGTCCGGTTGTGAAGAAAAGTCTTATATTGAGACGATACATACAAAAAAATTGGATCCCTAGCACTTTGTTGTTCGAGTGATTTCTCTTGTTAAGCCCCACGGGGCTGAACGAGAAAAATCTCAAAGTGTACGGGCAGCCTAAGTGACTCACTGCCTTCCAGTATATCTCATTAGACTATTATCAGGCTTCCTCTTACTTGGCTTCATAGGATTCTGAGTTTTTTTTATATTGATGCAGTCACTGGCTGCCCCCAGTCCAGTGTTGTTATGATGTTTTCATTACTAAAATGTATGTATATTCCAGCAGAAAGCAGTAAGGCCTCATTCACACGGGTGGCAAGGGGGGTCATACAACCAGGCAGTTGATCTGCAGTTTTACAACCCCCTGGTCGCCTACTGCAATGTCAGCACTGCGACCAAACAGTGCTGTATACATTATGGAGGTGGCAATGCTTTGCATTGTGGCAAAAAATATACAGCATGTCGAGTTTGACAGGCGGTGCTGCTTGTCAAAGTCGCCCATTGCAGTGGATGCGACCTGCGTGTATACATGGTTGTGGCACAGTATTACAATAGGAACTACCCATTGGGATTAAAAAAATAAATACTGCATTCGGGAGGCACCAGGATCTCCTGTTGAATATGGGCAGCTGCTGTTCCACCATCCTCTGAAAAGGGATCCACCGCAGATCGCTTTTCAAAGAGCAATGGAGGCTGGCGCCCATGTGAACGTAGCCTTAAAGTGACACTAAACCCAGGAGTTAAATCTTAAAAGTGCATTCAAGTACCTCAAATAACCACAGACATTTAACTTATTTGTGAATCACTTTACTGTAGATCCTCAAATCATTTCTGAATTCATGAAGACACTGTCCTTCCTTCTGGAGGGTGGCTACTTTTGTTCCCCATGGTCTCTGTATATGTTATAAAGTAGCCACCGATCTAAGCTTGCTCCTGTGATGACTACAACCTCACGTTTTATTTACCAATTTGTATTGAGATTGTAGTCTATCACGGGCGAGCTTGGAGCGGTGGCTACTTTACAACACACACATGGACCATGGAGACCAAAAGTAGCCACCCTCCAGAAGGAAGGACAGTGTCAGTACCAATTCAGAGATGATTTGAGGATCTACAGCCGGTTGATACACAAATAAGATACATTTTTGTTAATAGTTAAGATACTTGAATGCATTTTTAAGATTTAACTTCTGAGTTTAGTGTCACTTTAAAATTTTGAAGTAATTATGAGTACGGCCCATGTCACACTCTACCAGCAACAGGACTGCTAAAAACGTGCCGGGAAAGAGCTCACCTGTTTCTACAGGTCATTCAATCGCTGGCTAGATGAGCAAGATGTTTCTCCTTGCACCTGGATATGCTGCAGAATGCCAGCGAGAGAGCACCACCTCACTCATCCAGCTAGCTAGGAAATGGGTAAGTATTTCTATACCCTGTCCTTCATAGCAATCATGTCGGTGGCAATTTGTCACCAAGTGTGACCTAAGAGATTTTCTGTGTTATAATAGTAAAAAGGAGCAGTTGACTATTTGACCTTTTTTTGCCATCACTCATCTATGTTTCTATGTCTATGGCAAGGAAAGGGTTGCCTAAAATGAAATGCAATAAGTTTGTAGCTGGAAAGATGTGCAGCATTTTGAATACAATAACCAGAAGAAACAAAAGGTGTTCTTTTAATAAAAGTCTTTCCTTTGTTGACTTCTGATTTACCCCTTGTTATCTCTAGCTAATGCTAATTTACTATTTATTCTACCTTATTGTCTTTAGTTCTTCTACCTTCTACTTTTTTTTTTGAGAAAATTTAAACTTTTTAATTCGGTTTGTATAAAAATAATTGTTTGCATTCAATGTTGTCTGTAGTGTTAGGAATACAACTAAAATACACAAATTTGCTTTTTTAACACTTTACACTTTGCCACACTTTGTAAAGAAACATATTTTAGTGTCATTATACAGGACACATAGCAAAATAAAATCAGTACGTTGCATCTATCACGCTAAGGGGTTCATTTATAAAAGTTCCTCCCTTGCTATTTGCATGGCATTAATACCCCTAGATGGTGCTGATGAGTATAAGAATTTCCTTTACTTTGATAAATTAACCAAAAGTCAATTTCGGGAAAAGCATATTTTTGCTGGTTTTTACTTTTTTTTTTACATTTGAAATAAAAATAATTCAATACAACCAAAAGAAAGACTTATCTACCCATAAAAAACAATATATGCATCACATCTGTATCGAGAGCATTGCCATTATTTTTTTTTCAAACTATTAGGCCAAAGAAAGTGAAAATGGCTCTGGTTAAAACGAAATTATTAATAGAATTTATGGAGTAAAATCTGATCACTGCACGGTGGATGTCCATCTATTGCAGATTACCAACTCAGAAGGAAAGTGACACAGTGCTGACCTCTAGTGGTTATTTATTGTAATGCATTGGACTGAGTTAGAAGTAGTAATTACT